ACATCTCCAAATAATAAAAAAACCAGAAGAACAAAATTGTCAGTCCTAAAAACACTGACACACTAGATGAAGAGAGAGAAAAGAGAAAAACGGCTGTCCTTCCATATCTCCAGGGCATAACAGAACCTATCAGCAGGATTTTGGGTAAACACAAAATCAAAGTAATCTTCAAACCTCATAGGAAGCTCTCCCATTTACTCCCAAATCCGAAGGATCAGAAATCATGCCTAGAAACATCAGGTGTATATAAGATCCCTTGCTCTTGTGGTAAAGTTTATATAGGAGAAACCGGGAGGAAGATCAGTACGCGAATCAAGGAACACCAGCGATGTACCAAGTATGGTCACTTTACTCAATCAGCCCTAGCTGAACACTGGATGGAGACTGGACACTCCGTACAATATGAAAAAGCCACCAGATTGGCTCCCTCACAGAGTTATTTTGCCAGAAAACATCGTGAAGGTCTAGAAATTTTGAAACATCCCAACAACCTCAACCGAGACAAAGGTATGCAAGTAAACTCTATTTGGCATACTGCCCTCCCGGTTTTTTAATTGACCAGCTGATCAATTAAAATACGCTGATTGGCTGGATTCAAGCCTCGTCCCCTACTCCCTAAACACCATCTACACAAAGGGGGGGAGGGGGGCATATAAGGACTACCTTTACCCAAGGGAGCTCAGTATCAGAGTTCTCAGCCCTGATGATGCAAACTGCAACGTTTGCGAAACGTCGGCATATCGCTGATTCAAGACACGGCTCCATTCCGGAAGCTATACCTAGACATTGTATCAATGGCCGTGAAAGCCTCAAATCTAGTATTAAAAGCCTGCACGGAGAGGCTATCCTAGGGTCGGTAAATCTGTTTTCCAAACTCAGAAAGTCCTTGCATGTCCAACTATGCTCGCTAGCGTTTTTGAAACGGTGCCGCATCATGTAGTACCGAAATGCTTTCAATTAATAAACCCATTTCCATCTTCTAACCAGGCCAAAGGCATTCTACGACAAGCGTCGT